GGCCTTGAAGATCGCTGTAAACTTCCCCTCATCCACTGATTAGAACCGAAGCCGTATTCATCTTACCCACGGTTGCCATCAGCCTTACGGGCCTCCCGGGCGAAAGAGCCTGTCCTGTCGTTCTTGTCAAAGGCTTAGAGCCCGATCTGCGTGACTCAGCTTTTACCAGGGTACATCCCAAGGCGGAAGAAGAGAAGTGGAAGGTTTGGCTCTCACCTTGCTCTTGAAAGTAAGCACGTGCACTCGCACGAGCACAACATCGACGAAACACAACAGGCCCAACCCCCCTGCGCCTCAGCTTGCACAACCAAGGAAATCAACAACCTCAGTCGGATTAGCACCGAACCTTGGAATGCCGCCCCGGAACGAGCGGCAAAGAAACGCTTGAAACGCTACCCTGAGCCCCTGAACCGCAAGCCCTCAACCCTAAACCCTAAACCCCAAAAACCCTGACACCCCTTTCGGCTGAAGCCACGCATCGTCTTCGAAGGGCTGCAAAGCCAGAACTGTAGCTCCAGCCATGGCAAGGAAGTCGGAAAAAGAAGCGAACAATCGAGGAGGGGGGGGGGGGTGGAAGTTCCCAAATCAGGTAACTTAGAATGCAGGGTTTAGAGTCTGGGGTCTACGGTTTGCGGATAGATGACTGGCCCTAGTTTAGATCTTGAAACCTGGTGGGATCCTCCTGAATCCTCCTCATCTGGACCAGGTGGGAGAAGGAACCTTCAGCCGTCGTCGGGGATCTGGGAATAGGGTTCAGAATACAGGGTGTTCCCCCCGACACCGAACAGATGAGCTCGAGGTTCGCATAAGAGCTTGAGGTTTAGTCGTTTAGCCTAAACCCTGCATTCTAAACGCAAAGAGTGTGGGAGTTAGGTAAGCCGTTCAGGAGTGCAGCTTCAGAGTCAGCTGAAGAGATCGCGGACACTGAGCACAGGCGGGCGCTTTGACAACTGGGGCCCCAGGTTTCCGGGCTTACTGATACTTCGGTTTAGGGTTCGGGGAAGTAGGGTTTGGATGTTTAGGGCTTGGGGATTCGGGCTTAAGGTTTGGGAATTAAAGCTTAGGGTTCAAACGCAGGGCATCGGGCCGTAGCACCGCTTTAGGATTCAGGGAAAGGTGTGTGGAACTGCAACACCGCCTCAATGCTAAACCCCACGGGGTTTACACTACCAATACGGGAAGCCCTTGTCATCGGGGGAGGGCAACAACGTCGACAATTAGCTGCAGTCTGCTGACATGGACCCCTTAGCCCGGCACCCCAAAACCTCACATACTGGAGCCTCCATGAACAAGCACTGTAACCAGCGCACTGCTAGATCTCTCCTTCCACCTCATTCCTAACTACCTGAACAGGGAACCATTGAAGATTCAACCCTTCAAGCCCTACTCAAGTTTTTGCCAGACGAAGACACTTAGAATCAAACAGGTAGGCTTTGGGTTTAAATGCTTGACTAGCAAGTTTTGCCACTCTATCAGAAGCAGAGACAGGCTGGGTTAAATCTAGTAACTAACAACAATGACGCCAAAACCCCCGCTCCATGCCCTCAGCGCCCCCGGCTCTCAAATCCCTAGCCTGTGGCGCTTTCGGGAAGTAGGGCATTGCAAACTTGGAAAGCCCTCAGAGCGACTTACAGTCATCCCTACATCCCGGTTCTCTCAAAACTTGGATAACAACGACACCACAAAGATGAAAGCCCAAACATCCCACAAAATCTCTCGTCGCTGGGCCGCAAGCCCTGCACAGCAGCCAAAAAAAGCTCCACTGCTAGCCACAGCAATGAACTGGGGCCTTCAGACTTCATCAGAGCGATGCGGAAGCGGCGGGAGGGAAAAGGGGAGCGTGAGTATCCGTCTTAAGTTTTAAGCCCCTCAACTTCAGCATTGCACCCCCCTTGCGATGCTCGAAATCCCGACATGATGTTTCAGCCCCATCAAACCCTCCAAAGCCCTGTGAACACGCCACAAGCGAAAGTCCTCAAGATAAAGTTCAGATAAAGGGTTGGGGGTTTCGCCTGCTGGTTGATGTAAGCCACTGTACAAGGGATGGCTAACTCAGTCTTGAACTGACTCTTACTACATATCCGGGAAGCACTCTCTCAAAGAGGACGGGCTCTACTTCCTCACACCCTTGACACAACATCAGGCTACAGGACCTGTCGGTGCTTCGATCCCGAAAGCCCGAATTTGAGACCGGCGGCCATCGTTCGCAGATGTCGCCCAGGTAGAAGGATCTGCTGGTACCTCTGGGGAGCCGCGGGCGCTTGACGACACCTCAACCCTGCAGGCGGTTGCCTCAGATCCGAACCTGAAAGCCCAAAACAATGCCCCAACCTGGACCAACCTTTGCCTGCGCCTTGACTTTAAGGAGGGCCCAAGCCGAAATTCCCACAAGCCGCAGCCCCGCAACCTTGGAACCTCTGAATGCCTGACAAGCAGGTAGTCTACGCCACAATGCCCCCCGCTAGACCAGCACATCCAGGGCACGTCGCTGCAGCGGCGGGCTCTCGTCCGGGAGTGAGAGCGGGCTGGCACCAGGGGCGAAAGCTCTCCACGGAATTGATGATTTGGGGCTGAGGTTGCGACGGAGAGCTGCTACCCACAACTCCAAGTTAGACCCCTGCCTCGGAGATCCCAGGTAAAGCACACCATACCTTCCTATGAGCTTGAGGGTAAACAAAGTTCCCGGAACCACCCAAAAACTTCTAAACTAATTACAGCACTCTAAACCCTGGACACTAAAGGCTTAGGCTATCCGGGGCCACACAATCCTGATCTTGCCTAGTCTCCGGGTTCGTCCGACTCCTGCCACCAGCATTCTCTTGCCTCAGTTTCATGCAGAATTGCATTTCGGGGTGGAGGATTTCAGTCCAGGCTTGTAGGGGTTTCGGGCGGCCAAAATTAGACTCTAAACCCGCAATCCCGAAGTTATTTGGGGCTTCGCATTTCGGGGGCAGGGTATTAGAACCTGTCCGTAAGGCTGCAGCTACGATCTTCAAAGGGTTCTCCGAATGTCACGGTCTCCTAACGCCTCTAGGTTCAAGCTTCGCTCCGAGATTGCCTGCATTCCAGCCGATAAGGAATTGCGTGCAGGACGTGCCGGGGCTTTGCAGCTCGCAGCTGCTCTTCGGCTTCAAGACTCGAAGTGCGCGTGCTCGAGGTTTAGTGTCAATCCAAGCTAGGGCGAAGAGGTCCACGAAGCCCCAGCACCGCACCAAGCCCATTGAACCCTAACCTCGAAGGATCGGCAAGACCTTGGAAGCAAACCCCCTTAAAACGGAAACCTAAAACCTAAAACCCCAAGTTCTCAGAATCCGAAAGGTGAAGGTGGTCCCACCGGGCCATCTGCTCCTGGAGCATCCGTGCAAGCTCCTCCGCAAGTTAAGAGTCTCCCTTTACGGTTGAGGGGTTTGGGGGGTTAGTCCACGTTGCAGGTTCTCTATGTCAAGGGCTTTATTGAGCTTGATGTATGTAGGGACCTTCATCTGTGCATTTAGGTCGTCGACTTTTGCTTTTGGGGCTTCGGGTCCGAAGTTGAATAGGATGGAGCTACGTTAACCACAGCCTCGTCGACAAGACCCCTCGTGCTTTGTCACGGCGACCACCCTCAACACACACTGCTTGGGGAAGGTAGCGCCCGGCGAAGTGACCGAGCGGCCGGTTGCTGGGACACTCGAACCTCGGGAACCTCGCCAAGGGGACATCTGTTGGAGTGTAAGCAACCCAGAATTGCTGGCCGGTTTTGCAATCAATGCAGCAGCATTTCTCCAAGCCTTAATGAAATGTTTGATTGCTGGCATAGGTGAAACGTTATTGATTGGTATTCAAATTCACAGGAAGTCATCCAAACAGAACACACCACCCGACCTGCAGTCGGACCCCAGACGAATCAAAAAGCAGAACCTCGTCTGCGGGCCGGCTATGCAAGAACCGGCAAAAGCTAGGAACAAGGTTGAAGAGAGCTGTTCCTCTCTCCTCGCGATTGGCTCGTTTCTGCAAGAAAACCTTTGCGTTGCACCATCTAGCCGTACATTGATTGCACCATGAGACAGCAAGGCTAACACCAGCCGTGAGGATCATCGAGCCAAGTACTCGTCACTACGATGGATTTTTGATGAAATCTGGTTGCAGACCGCTTTGTCAGTGTCCGGCTGGCAGACTGTGGGTAAATCAGCTGTGCACAAGGCAAACCATGAATGAAAAAGATCGGTCTGCGACACGTCAATTCCACTGAATATTGTCGAGTCGTCAGAGAAGCCACAACGTCCATGTGAGGTTGATGCACCCATACGCTTGCGACCAGGGCGAATCTTAGCACCTTCCCTGCAGCCTGCAACAACAACTTCCTTAAGTCATAGCTTGCAATCACAATGACAAAACGAACGCTGCTCCTGTCTCGGGGAAGGTCCGCCAATTCGAGACGAAGTAACCGGTAAATGTACTTTACAATCCGATCTGGAAGGCCGATCTTCGAAGATTCGGTCACAAAAAGTTCCAGCTGCCATCGCCATTCGATGTGCCCGGAGCAATCTGGACTTGAAGTGCCTGCGTTTCTGTCGTTGTCTGTTGTGCTTTCATACTTAATACATCGCAATCGGCAGCGGAGCTGGCAAAGAAAAGCTTAGATCCATTGCATGCGGAACTTGACTGTGGATGTGAAAACAACCTACGCGGTGCAGCTACACTTGCTTTGCCAGCAGGACACAATTTGGGGTATCGCGACATAAGTGAGTCTGCACTCACTGATGATGCATGTACATTCCCAAATGTGGACCGCTCTGCAAAATGCAGGCATACAAGTAGCATTCGAGGCAGTTGCGAGGTTAGAATGACAACCGGCGCCCATCTAAAACGTACGGTGGCTGGGCCCAGTCGTGAGGCCTTTCTGGTGTACGTCAACTGGAATCTAGAAACCCGGCATTGCCGACACTCTGAGACGTTAACATCGTTGCGACGGAAAGTCGGTCAAACGGCATTCTTTCCGAGAAAGAAGACGGTGTATACTAGAGCGACAGAGGCTCACCGTTCAGGAAAGCGTCGAAATCAAACCCATAGTCCAAAATGCCTCAGTCATGCAACAGTGTCTGCACAGGCATCCGCATCTGCTCACGCGCATCCACTGTCTCCATTCTGCATGTCGCCGTTCTGAGGCTTGGACACATTCCTGGCACTGGCTGAGCATGCAGTCCTCAGCAGGGCCATGACCCGCTGCAGCTTGAGGTTTAAAACTCACAAGTCTCACATGGCCGCAGAGAAGCCAGCTATTGAACGAGAAGTTGTGGTGTTGCCACCCTGAACCTTCTCATCCGGGTCTTCTTCACGCTCCAAGAGACCTGAACCAAGCAAAACGGACCGTTTGTTCCGGCAGTTTCTGAGACCTTGAAGTCTTGAATCCTGTGTCATTCGCCCTTTAGTTTGCCCTTGAATTCCTCGGACTCACGAAGGCCCTGCCTCTAATCATGTTGCGCGCAAAGCCGCTCCTTCGAGCGAATCGTTGGAGCTCATCGTGGACCCTATCTGGCGAGTTCTCCCGCGATCGCAAAATCGTGTCCAAGGTCCTTCGGGTGTCGCTATATTCAAAGATGTGCACTTCTAAATTTCCTGTTGAACTTGTGGAACCCGTCCTTTCAGCCTCATGCGGATCTGCTTCCCGGGCCTTTCTGGATTCACCTCCATCCGGAACAGATGAACGTGACAGAACGGACAGGCGTCCCTCCAGCAGCCAGCAGACGTTCCCAAGAATATACATGGATCACACGAACCCGCGGAGTGGGGCTGCGTCGCGCTGGAGCTTGAAAGCTGCGCTGAAGGGTCTCCTTCGGCATGCCCGTCCATGTCGGCAGGGACCCATCCATTCAGCCCGTGCATGTCGCCTAGTGGAACTAAGCTGGAGCCGGGATGCTTGATCAAGGCCATGCCTGACACCCTCACTGCAATCGCCGGCGTAGTCAATCAACACCGTCACCGCAGTCAACGCGATTACCATGAATCGACTGTTGTGAGATGGTATGCCATGTTGTGCCATATAGTTTGCGACCAAAAGCACCAACCTCGGTTGGTGACAAACACGAAGCGGGTTGCTGAGTGTTCCTCGCACCTTCCTTCCCCTCTGAAGCATCGTTTGTCTTTGTTTTACTTTTCCTTGGAAAGTGGAGGCTCCGGCCGGGAGGGGGCATGGCTCTTTCTGTGCTGACGGATGTTGTGACCGGCCAAGCGCTCCTGTCTGGGGCCGAGTGAGAAGGACGGACTGAAAAGGATAGAGGAAAGGAGATGCGGGGAAGGAGAGATGCAGGGACCGACGGACAGGACTTTAAATTCATCTGTGCAACTGCTATGTATCAAAAACCTCCAAGATGGAAGACCAAATCTTATATACACGCATACATACATACATA